GAGTGTTGTTCTTATGTAGTTTTTAAGTACAAGTTTCTTAGGAGTTTTTGATTTGCTATATCTGACTGTTATATACTATGAAGTAAAAATATGCTGCAATTATTTTGGTCTTGTTAAAGGTATTTATAGTTTGCCATTAAATATTTTAGATATTTATGCCAAAAATCAATGTATTTTGAAGTAAAATGTTAATAATTCACAATTAATTTCACTCTTACAATTAACCATTTTATAGATTTTTTTCCCCTCCAGTTTAAAAACTTGTAATGGAAAACTTCAAGAAAAACTTCTAAATAAGGAGAATAGTCATCACCCAATTTCAACAGTTATCTACGGGTAGCCAATAATTTTTTGTTTTACAGATTTATTTTTAAGTTAATGTCACCTCAAAATGTTGTGTAATTAACATTTTTCAAAATAAAAAGGTCATATAAATTTGAATAGATGAAACCTTTTTTTAAAAAGAAAAATAATTACTTTTTATTATATTATAACTTTATTTGGGAACTATTTTTTGGCTAGTCTAAGGTTAATATCTATAGAGTGTGTGAAAATATCATATTCTCTGCTCTTTCATCATTTAGCAAAGGCATAATTTTTTTTGTACAAATTTAACAAACAAATATGACTTTTTAAAAATTCAGCAACAACCACCAAACCTGTAAATATATAAGATCTTACCTTTACTTTTTTTTGTCTCTGAGACTGGTGTGCTAAGGAATCTATTCTGTTTCTTCACCATTAAAAAGAAAGCTATGTCAGATGATTGCATTTCACTTTGTTTTAACCTTTGTACCCAGTGAGCAGGTGATTTAAAAAAAACCACTAGACTTCCTTAGCAAAAGATTGACTAGAAGAATAATTTCTTAAAGTCATCTTTGACTTCTTTAATGTAACAAGTAAGGTGGTTTCCATAATCTTTATGTTTAATTACTCATAAAAGTTAAATATTAACAAATTTACTTTATGAGTTAAAGTATGTAAATTTGAGAATGCTAAAGTGATTTAAGTGTTATTCTTTTTTTTTTTTTTTAAATATATTTTATTGAGTTTTTACAGAGAGGAAAGGAGAGAGATAGAGAGTTAGAAACATCGATGAGAGAGAAACATCGATCAGCTGCCTCCTGCACACTCCCCACTGGGGATGTGCCCGCAACCCAGGTACATGCCCTTGACCGGAATCGAACCTGGGACCCTTCAGTCCGCAGGCCGACGCTCCACCACTGAGCCAAACCGGTTTTGGCTTAAGTGTTATTCTTGAAGGTATTTTGTGTTTAGAAAGATACAAGATGAAAAGATACCACCAAATTTAGTACTCCACTGAGTTTAAACTTTATATACTCATTTTTATGACACCATCATTGGTGATTTACTGCCAAGTTATAACCGGAGCCAAGTGCTAGTATCAAAACACTTGACACTTGACCATTATGTGGCCTTGAGAAAATCGGTTACCTGCCTTTTGCTGTTAACTTCTCTGTAAAATGGAATACTGTACAACATTAGTTTCCATCTAACTACACTGAGACATGTCACAAAGAAACATGGTTAAGAGGCAAGTAATCATGGAGTTCAGAATTAGTTTGTTCCGGACGATTAACTCCTCTAGGGCTCAGTATCTCCTCAATCTATGAAACAAAAAGACTGAAATAGATAACCTTTTCTGCTTGAAAGTTCTATGAGCCCATAGCCAGCCGTGGGCAAACTAAGGCCCGCGGGCCGGATCGGCCTGTTTGAAATGAATAAAACTAAAAAAAAAAAAAAAAAGACCGTACCCTTTTATGTAATGATGTTTACTTTGAATTTATATTAGTTCACACAAACACTCCATCCATGCTTTTGTTCCGGCCCTCCGGTCCAGTTTAAGAACCCATTGTGGCCCTTGAGTCAAAAAGTTTGCCCACCCCTGCATAGACCCATATAAATGGTAGCAATAGTAAACATACTTGTATATTTGAATTGAGGTTCAAAGTAAAGAAAGACATCACTCCTTGCCCTAGAGTGAGACAAAAATAAATAAAAATTCCAGGCAGTCTGTTTCATTATGTTCATCATTTATTTGATTATTATGATATCTTTACAGGAAGATTTCTGAGTTTAGGTTATCTTATGCTAATGGAGTATGAGTGTGTAAAGAGTGTGAAGGTCACCGATATGTGACTATCGAGGACTTAGCTAGTGATTGTGAAAACTGTAGAAGTTGGTTATCTACTTGTAAAAGAGTTTAAATAGTAGAATAATCATCTTGAAACTTAAAATATAAATTTATTGCGTTGGGATGAAAATTTATCTTTAAGAAAAATTTTTATATGTAAATCTTGAAATATTTACATGATAACTAGCATCTTACCTTTTTATTCTTTTCAAAATGTTTCTCTATACTAATGATAATTGACCTTGCATAGGGTAATAACTGGCACATCACTGGTATTTCTTGTGGTTATATGATAAATATTATTGTTTGTAATTAATTCACTACTACTACTTAAATATGGTTGTACTTTTAATGTTTTTGTTTTGTGATTTTGGAAATTATTACGTTGCAGTGCTAAAATATTGCTGATAATTTGTGGAATACCAGTTTTAGTTAAAGCAGTGGATAAAAGGGAATTTAAGCAAAACATATTAATCTAAAGCTGTGATTTTTAAAAATCACATTGCACTATAAGCTCTCTCTACTCCAAGTTTAGTCAGAGCTGTGCTACTTTATGTGATTTACATGGTAAACTTCCATACAGTATTTCATTTGGTCAAAGAATTCTGTAGCTATTAAATGTTTGAAAACAACTCTTCTAAAATGCAACTATCTTATTTGTCTTGAAGGTATGATAGCAAAAATTATAAATACATCCTCATGTTGAAGGCTTTAATGATTTTCTGCAATGATTTTTGTGTTTCTTATAAGAATGTAAGTAAAATGGAGAGTAAGCAAATAGAAGCATTTGGGGGTTAAGAAGAAAAAGACAAAGTAAGTCTGTGCTGAGGGGGGCCAAGTTTTGTACAGGTCAAATAGGATTATTTGTATGTTTATAAGAACTTTTAGATCCACAATTATGATTGAATACATTTACGTGCCCTTTTTAATTGAGACCAGGACCTGAGTAACAGTAATGGTTTTGTCCTCAGGATAGTAAGGAATATTGCATACTTTTGGTTTCAGGAAGGAGAGACAAATTAGAAGTGTAGAAGAAGAAATTGAACAGGAAAAACAAGCAGCAGATGGCATTATAAAAAATATGTCTCCTGAAAAACAAGTCAAGTACATAGACATGAAAACCACAAATGAGAAATTACTACAGGTAATGCTAATGACCCCTTCGGGACAGGCATGCAGCAGTCTTGCCACTAGGGGCAGCATCGGCATCCCCTGAGAGCTTGACTAGACTTACTGCTCTGTCTTTAACAAGGTCCCCTGATGATTCACAGGATATTTAAAATTTGAGACGCACTGCTTTAGAAAAATTTATTCTTATGCTACATGATGACCTAGCTTTTACTATATTATTTGTTCAGTTCTATGCATCCTTCATTTTTGAATGTCATAAAGACATATGAAAACACTTACTTTTAATCAACTTTTAATAGCAACATTAAAAGGCCTAATATATCTGAGCCACATGAAATGAATATTTACATTCTTTTCTTCCTGCCTAATAAACCTCACATTTTTTTATTAAAAATATTTAATGTTGACACTATTGCAGATGTCCCCCATTTTCCCCCTTTACCTACCTCTACCCACCCCACCTCCCCTTCCCGTGGCCTTCACCACACTATTGTTAGTGTCCATGGGTTATGCATATGTGTTCTTTAGCTAAACCCTTTACCGTCTTTTAAAAAAAAGTATATTTTTATTGAATTCAGAGAAGAAGGGAGGAGAGAGAAATAGAAACATCAATGATGAGAGAGAATCATTGATGGGCTGCCTCCTGCATGCCCCACACTGAGGATTGAGCCCCCAACCCAGCATATGCCACAATCAGGAATCAAACCGTGACCTCCTGGTTCATAGGTTGATGCTCAACCACTGAAACATACCGACCTGGCTCCCTTTTCCTTCTTTATCCGGTCACCTCCACCCTCTCCCTTCTGGCACCCTCCAGTCTATTCCATGTACCCATGATTCTGGTTCCATTTTGTTCTTCATTTTATTTTGTTCATTAGATTCCTTCATTGACCGTTTAATGTAACTTTTATTTTAGACAGGATTTATAAGACACAATGAGACATTGAAAAAAGGGTATTACAGAAATGTCAAAATGTAATTAATCCTGCATAGAGGTTCTCAAATGAGTAATAATCAGTTTAAGGGTTTTTTTTCCCCTTAAAGGTGTTGAGTTATGTAAATTGCTGTAGGTCTGGGCCCTAAAAGAAATTAGGGACATCTTAAGTCTTCTTGCTACAATAAAATAAAATTTTAAAAAATAAATCAATTAAATTTAAAAAGGAATTAGGCAAAAAAAATGAAAACATGGTTTAAAAAAATCAAAATTAAAAATTATAACTTTAAACAATGTCAGAATGAGTTTGAAGGCTTTTCAAACTTGATGATTACAGTGATGTGATGATTTAGTGTGAAAAGGATAGGCTACCTTCAACAGGCTTATGGAGTTGTGTTTTTTTTAATCTTTACTTAAGGATATGTTTCCATTGATTTTTTAGGGAGAGAGAGAGAGAAATATAGAGGGGGAGAGAAACATCAATCGGTTGCTTCCCATATGCCTGGACTGGGGATCGAACCCACAGCCTACATGTGTGCCCTGCAACCGGAATCAAACCTGCAACCTTTTAGTGTATGGGATGATGCTCCAACCAACTGAGCCACCCAGACAGGGCATAAAGTATTTTTAGAGGTGGATCATGGCAAAGTTTTTAGAAATAATGAAAAAATTGGCGAAAATAGCAGTGAATACTAGTAAATTCTAGTCAAATTACAAGATAAGTTTTGAAGATGTTTACAAAATTTACTTTGTCACATATATATTTAAATTATTGAGAAACAAAAATTTATTCTGGTGTGTTATTTTTTTTTCTTTCCATTTTATTGATTTTTAGAGAAAGGAAGGGAGAGGGAGAGAGAGACAGACAGAGAAACAGAAATATCGATGGTTGTCTCCTGCATGCGTTCTGACCAGGGATGGAGCTGCAACCTGGGTATGTGCTCTGACCTGTGATCGAACCTGTGACCTGGTGCACGGGATGACACTCCAACCAACTGAGCCACACCAGCAAGGGCCAAGTTTATTCTTAATGTAACTGACATATGTATTTGCTTTTTTTCTTCTTTTTAGGAATTAGATACACTTCAGCAGCAGCTAGATTCATTGAACATGAAAAAAGACAGTCTGGAAGCTGTAAGTATAAAATCAAATAAGATTTCTTATATTACTCATCTACACAACAAAAAATTATATATATATATGCATATATATATATATATATATGATTCAGCTAAATATATTAATGGAACTCATCCAAGTAAATATTTATTTAGCAGTTTACTTACAAGAGTATAATAATTTCTTCCCCACTTAGGGCCATAAATATACTAATTTGGTAAGAAATTAGATTCAATTAAGTACCTATTGTGTACAAAACAAGTCACTCGGCCTAATGGGGCACATAATCCAGTGGTAATTTAAAGATATGAACAAGGAGACATATGTAATACTTTAAACAATAATAAAACAATAAAAAATAAAGACATATAAACAAGAGATAAAACAAATGAAGAGATCATTTTATCACTAAAGATGTAAAAGCTTGCATTCATTTTCTTATTTGTTTATTTAAACA